CTATATTGCAAAAGTTGGAACACTAAAAACTACACTTCCCAGAGTCCCTTTTAGCTAGACACTGAGTGTAATTTATGTTCTGCCAATCAGATGCTCCTACATAAGACTTGAATTCAGAATTAAATAAAATCAGGAGGAAATCATTTGTATTTTTGGTGTGGATGTGGCAAAGGAGGCAATGTGCTCCATGGTCAGCTTCCTGTGGTGGCAGCAGCAGTTTTCCCCGCACAGAGGAAGCAGTATAATTCTTGGAGTTGGTGGTTGTTCCCAGAAGCTCCACCTAGAACCTGATCCTCCAGCCTTTCTAATGACTTTGTACGCCTACTAATACCCGATAACAAGTGGATTCTGTTGTCCTTGGAAGGAACCTTAAGAGCCTCTATGGCTTGTTCTCTTCCCTGCTTCCAGGAAAACGAAATTCCTAAGTCATTCAAGATAGGTCATTGGTTAGCTGCCCTGTTGTTAAAGATCTCATGAGACCGAAATCTTTAAATCTCCCTTTCCAAATTACCCAATCTCCCTCATAGTCAAGTAGTTGGGTTTTTTTTTAAGATTTTTATTGGGGAATTGGGGAATGGAAACAGCACTGGGGAATTGGGGGAAGGGGAACAGACAAGTTGCTGTCCTTTTGTTCTTCAGTCTAGTTGTGGAGGACGTTGCTTCACTGGCCCAAGTTGGCACCATCATTGTGCTTTTCCCAGGCGAGGCAGATCAGTCACCAGCTTCTGGACGGCCGCTCATGGTGGCTGCTGGCTGCTGGCTACACACGGTAGCCCATGGCAACTCACTGCAGCAGGGGCTGCAGCCTACGCAGTCGCCGGCAGCCCAGCTCCAGGTTGAGCTGTTGTTCAGCATCTTAGCTGTGGAGGGCAGTGTCACTGGCCCTCATATGTGGGATCCGAACCGGGGCCCTCTGGCATCCTAAGACAGCTCTTAACCAACGCGCCACTTGGCCGGCCCACACTTTACATTCTTAGAATTCTACTTGGTCACATTGCCTGAAATTTCATTAGGGTCATCCTTTTTAAAGGTCATGATGACATAATTTGTATACCAATCACTTTGAAATAGGAGCAGGCCTGAGTGGGACTCTAGCATCAGGGTTCTTTAGGGCAACAATAATGTACCAGGCACCATATGTGCCTGAGCATATGTTTGTGTTATGGCCTATGGAGAAGTTTCTCCTCTTTTATTATTATTCAGGGCCAATCCTGAGCCTGTTATAGCCTGAAGTAGCACCCAGATTTCTTAAACCAGATAACCAAATATACTAAACATATTTTAGGGGCTCCCCACAGTCCTCTTTGCTAGACAGCTATGATCTGTTCCCCAGGACCCTGCACCCTGTCCCTCTGGGCCACACCTGATTCACCAGGGTGTTATCAATCTTCAGGCTAATTGTGCTGTTGCCCAGTGCAATAGGTTCTGCCACTTGGGGGGAAGGCAGATGTGTATTCACAACATATGAACAGAGGAGCATCAGCAGGAAAGCCCACAGGATCCTGTAGCAGAGGGCCCCTGAGCAGCTTTGAGCCCAGAACCACCCTCCACTCTAGCCACAGGAAGCCTGGTAATAACTGTTTTTGGATTAATGCTCGTTATCACTCCTTACAATAAATCCCTTTATTTTAGCTAATTTTAGTGAACCTCAATTCTTTATAACCAAAGAAGTCTAAACTAAAATGGCCTAAAGGTCTAAAACACCAAACATAATAGGTACCTCTTATGTTTGCAGTCCACAACCTTCCTTCTCTGAGAACTCGACCAACAGGCTGGTGCCCTTATAGTCAGTCCCCTTAAGTTACTTTCAACAGGAAGATCTTTGTGTAACACACCAATCTAGGCATCTCCTGAGTTGCCAACACCCAACTTTTAAGTGCCTATGGGTATCAACTGCTGCTAGAACTGGGAGCAGAGATGGTGCCTCCCTGGTCAGGTGGAGAGTGAGACTGGGTCTCAGTCTATACATTCCTCTTGCTAAGAAGCACTATCAATATTCATTCATTCAACACATACATACTGAGGTCTGCTTTATCTATATACCAAAATTTGAGTGCTTTCAACTATATTATGTGTGAATCCAACTTCTGAAGTATGGCCTTGGACTCCAACCATTATTTATAACATGGTTTTAAAGAAAACTTTATATTCCACATCCCTCCACCCCAAATGCCTTCCAATTAGTATTTGGCCTTGCTGGGCTGAAAGCTAAGGATTACTTCCAAGAAACAGAGAGCAGCACAGTGGGTGTCTTACTTGAGAAAAAGCTACAGACTTTCAGTATTTCTTCCTGGCTAACATGGAGAAGGAACCAAGACCCTGAGAGGCAATGCTTCAAAATGCAGTCGTGTGTAGGGTGTCTACAGGAAAGCAAAAGTGCAGTAATAGTGGTGTGTGTTTATTGAAACAGGTAATGGAGACACCTGGAAAGTCTCTGAAATGAGTCACTGGTGATTTACATAATTGAATCCATTATCTGATTTAGACATTCTAAGTTAGGTGGGTTTTGACAAGCTTATATATATTGAGTAATATTTACACTAAAAAATCAAATTCATTCAAATAAAGACGGTGGAAGACAAAATAATTAGGTTTTCACCTAGGGAAAAACTCGCTAGAAGAGTGACTTGTTACTTTTAAAATATGAGAATGCCAGAAAACCTTTCTTTTCTTCATGGTTTTAAAAGCAACATGCTCATTTCAAAAAATTTAAACATTATGGAAAAGCATTCATTCATTCAGCAAGTATTTATTTAGTACCTATTATGTATAAGACCCTAGCCTAGGCACTAAAGATATAATAGTGAGCATAAAACAGATAATCTCCTATAAACTCACCTTCTAGAGAAAGCATTATTAATAGTTTGTTCTAGACTTTACACATCTTGATTATAACCCTTGGTGATACGTCTGTGGTCCCTGGCCCTCCCGCTGGGGGTCCCAGATGAGGAAGCACTGCTCTAGACGTCTTAGGTGACATGTTGTCTTCACAGCGTTCTGCACTACAGTCTACTGATAGTCAAGAACCTGCAGGACTACCCTTGACAAAAGTCTCCTCTTCCAATGAAATTCAAGGCCAATCCCACCACATAGTCGACTCTTTCTTTGGTATATACCTCGTTGATGGGAGCTATTTTCATGGGAGCAGGTACGAAAGCAAGCAAATACAAACATTTCCTCCTGGCCATTTCATCAGATATTAGTGAATGGAGAAAATGTCCTATTTCAGATCCAAGGCAGCTAACAGGTATCTGATAGGGTGGTGTCTTAGAGCCTTATTAGTACCCAATAAAGACTGAATGTTGAGACTAATATTCCAGTTACATTTGAAGGGAGGAGAGGCTTCATGTTGCTCTTGCAGAGGAGTTTACTGGGGCAAATACACACCCACATAGCTTTTGAAGACATTATTTTCCTAAGTCTCTGATGTCAGCACACACCTCCCACTTCAGAGAGGCTGAGTATCCAGAGTAGATGCTCTCATTACATGTTGTCTTTTGTGTTTTAGTTTAATGATAGGCCTGAGCACACAGTTTATAATCTAGCTTTGGGCTAATATCTATGAGATCCATCTTTCATGCAATTTTAATTTTGGTATTTATAACTAAGTTAAGTCTTCTTTAGTGAGGCTTTGTTGGGAATTTTAGATTAAATAATCAAGAGATTTTTTCCCCCCCATGGGGGAAAGGTCAGGGTTATGTTTTACAATATATGTCTTGGCAGTTTTCATTAAATAAATTATTTATGCCACCTGCTGGTCTTTTTAGGACTCATTCTTTCATTTTTAAAATTTTTTACATTTAAATATTATTTATACTACACACAAAGGTGTCCAAAATAATCTTTCAATAAAATCCATAAATGTTTTATAAGGAATGCACTAAGTCATAGGACTTGATTCTGACCTATATCTCCTATTTTTAAAATTTCCCCTTACCAAGGCTAATATTAAGATACTTATATATTATTTAGGAGAGAGCTATTATTTCTAGTCTAGACTAATATTCCTAAAAAGCATATATTTTAGACCTTAAAGCCTTTGTGAATATCAAAAAAGCATATGGTCTTGGTGAGTAGTGAAGTTTGTCTTCTCTACAAAAGTAAAATAGCTCATTTAGCTAGAAAATCATTAAGTGACTCTTCCTGGAAGGAAAACTAGTAACAAAGGTAACAAAACCATTTACGCTGCTTTATCCCCCTCTTAGCATCTGCCACCCCTCTGTTCTTCCCTCCTTGTAGTACATAATCAAATTGGAAGAATTTTCTACATAAACCAGGATTAATGTTTCTCATTTACAATTTGTATACGAGGCCTCAGAGTACTATGGGAGACTAATGAGAAGCAAACTGAAGTGCTCATAGAACCCCCAAATTGACTTTGGGTGGGAATAACATTTTTTTAATTATCAGAGAAAATGTGTTAATTGTAGTAACTTTGGAAAATTCAGGCAAGCACAAACAAGAAAATAAAAGTGATCTATAATAAGCCCAAATCCCCTCAAAAAGCAGTATTAACATACTAGAGGATATCTTTTCCAGGTACAGTTATACACTTTTCTTAAAAAACCAAATTGGGATAGTTTAAGGTTAATAACCTACTGTTTTATAACTTGCTTTTTTCATTTATCACCATAATGTTGTCATTTCCCCTACTTCATTATTCTTCTAAACTTTGGAATTCCATTACCCAGATGAACTGTACTAGATATAACTATAATAAGATATAGCTATATTTGTGGCTCTTTAGTTTGTGGCCTAGTTTTTGGAGAAGAGAAATAAGCCTCAGTGAGCATTCCAGTACACACATTTTGATGTGTATCTCTGATGCTTTCCTTAGAATAACATGGGAAATTCACAGCAGCAGAATTTGCAGGGTCAAAAGTTAAGAACATTTTTTAGGTTCTCAGCCCATATAATCGATCATTGACAGCTCCCAGGAGGATAATTGTGGGGGTTAAACCCTTAGGCAGTTTTTAGTGTTGTACCTCCCCCAATCTCACCTTGAGTTCTTCCGAGGAAAAAGCTGCCTGGTCATTTCCATGCTGACAGAAGTTCCTGAAAAGAGTGGGAAATCTTTTAAAATGAGAATAAAAGATCATTTTAAATTGATGGCTGGTAACAGAGATGTAAATAACAATCCAGACAGGTATCTATGAAATCCTAGGATATTTTAACTGAGATGGTTTCAGAGATTGGCTGCTCTGCCCAAGCTACAGAACAAAGTAAGTATATTTTCTTAAACTTTTTTTTGAGTACGTAAAACATGCACAACAGGACTGATATGAACAGCTGCCCAGGCCACACACAGCACAACTTCGGGGGTGCCATTTACACAGATTAGAGTTTCAATAGCACACCCTTGGTTTGTGCAATCTAGGAGCTCTTTGAATACAGTACACAATTCAAAGGTTCAAACAGAATACATAAAAAGTTAGTTCTCTGCTACCTTGTCCCCTAGCTGTCCTATCTAGAGCAGCAACTCAGTCTTTGGGTATCCTTCCCAAGATATTCTATGAATATATATTTACATATATATTAGTCTTTTATTTTTTCCCTAACACAAATACGAGTATATTGCAGACGCTGTACTGCTCCTTGCTTTCTTCACTTAACAATAGATCTTGGTGATTGTTCTGTATCAGTATATCTTGGGCTGCTTCCTTATCCTTCTTTTAACAGCTGAATGGTACTCCACTGTGTGAATGTTTAGGGCTCTTTCTTCATAAGTAAGAGATTGTGATATTAGAAATAAGGAACAAAGTTTAGGAAGCATTAGGATGCTTTGGTGTGGACATGCTGAGTCTAAAAACTGGGAATATGAAATAGGAGCCATTTGTGAAAAGAGTCAACTGTTAGAGAAGTGGATTTTGGAGCTATTCACTGTGTTAGGACACAGGCTGGGCTGTTGTAACAAAGATACCTCAAATTCAGTGGCTTAAACAATACAGAAGTTTATTTATTTATTTATTTATCTATTGTAAAGATTTTATTGGGGAATTGGGGAAGGGGACCAGCCTAGTTGTTGTTCTTCAGTCTTCGTTGTGGAGGGCGCCAGTCGCCATCTGGCTTCCCGTAGGCAGCTCATGGCCTTTAAGCTCAAGGTGCTGTGTTCAATCTTATGGTAGTTGCAGGTGGGTGTAGCCACCATCCCATGCGGGAGTCGAACCAGCAGCCTTGTTGTTAAGAGCGCATGCTCTATCCACTGAGCCATTCGGGCGGCAGCTCAGCTCAAGGTGCCAAGTTCAGTCTTAGTTGTACGTGGGCATAGCCACCATCGAACAGGCAGCCTTGTTGTTACACCAGCTGAGCCATCCGGCCACCTGTTGGCAGCTCAGTGACAGCTCAGCTTGGGCTCAGTGTCACTGGCCCATGTGGGAATCAAACTGGTGGCCCTGTTGCTCAGAGCTTGTGCTCTTAAGCCAGCTCTTAACCAACTGAGCCATTCGGCCAGCCCCAGAAGTTTATTTCTATTTCATGTAACAGCCAGAGATAGTCAGTCTAGGGCTGGTAGGATGGCTCTATCATCCTCTACCTATGGCTTCCATCTCTGGCTCCAGCTCCTGCCATCACATTCGCATCCTAGCCAGCAGGAAGGAGCAGAGACAAGTGGAGGGCATGCCTTTTACTTTAAGAGCATGATCAGGAAGTTGCCCACATCACTTCTCACACCCATGGCCAAACTTAGTCACATGTGTTATGCTTGCAGTCTCAGGCTGAGTTCCAATAGTAAAGAAGAAAGACAGGATGAATATTTGTGGAAGCTAGCAATCTCTGCCGTATTCCTGGAAGTTAGGTTAGGTTCTCTAGGAAAAAAGACTCTGAGAAAGATTCATGCGCAGGAATTTTCTTTTTTATTGTGGTAAAATAAGGTAACATAAATTTGCCACTTTAACCATTTTTAATTGTACAGTTAAATGGGATTATATTCATTTACATTATTGTGCAAAAATCCTTGTTTGATTTCTTGTCTAGATGGAAAAGCCTCTGCATTCTTTATGAGCAAATGGGAGCACAGTTCTTTAACAGGACAGTGGGCCATTTCTGCTGGTCCAGAGGGGTTTAGAGGGATTTGCAGTTTCAAGGTTTTTGAGTGTATTAATCCAAGTGACCCCATCCGAACTCTCAAGATTTCATTCTTCCTAGTCAGAACCCTGACCTTGGCATAAAAGACTGGAGAATTCAAATTTCTTGGGAGTTTTTCTATTCTTATAATTAAGTCCAGGTTCCCATCTTAAGCTTTTTTTGCCCTCTGGCTGCAGGAGATGAGAATCTCTGCATATGCTTCCTAGGAGGCCCTTTGGGTTTCACACTGGGTCTTCAATTGACGATTAATTACTCTTAGTCTTTTGATGTCTTTCTCCAATGCATCAATGACACTCAGAAAGAGCCACTGATTCTATTGTCCTTATGGTTAGTACTTTCCTCAATATCTCAAAATCTGGTACATTCCCTTCCACTATTATTCCATCCATGTTCACCATTAGTGAAAGTTTTAACAGTTATCTTGCATGACAGGAGCTTGCAGTGCTCCTCCCAGCACCAGTGATGGGGTTCTCATTGTCAGCTGGCAGATGGGTGGTCATGTTCGAGAATCCAAATTTTTTTTGGGGGGGATAAATTTTTAAAAATTCAATTTATTGGAGTAACATTGGTTAATCAGATCATATAATTTTCAGATGTACAACATTATAATTACACATCTGTATACTCTATTGAGTGCTTACTACCCAAAGTCTAGTCCCCTCCATTACCATATATATGACCCCCTTTATCCACTTCACCCTCTCCCCACCCCTTTTTCCCTCTGGAAAACAGTATGGAGTTTCCTCAAAATATTAAGACCAGAACTACCACATGATACAGCAATTCCTCTTCTGGGCATTTACACAAAAAAATATGAAAACGCTTCTTTGTACATGTACCCCTATGTTCACTGCAGCATTATTTACAATAGCCAAGGTATGGAAGCAACATAAGTGTCCATCAATAGAAGAACAGATAAAGAAAATGTCACACACACACATACACACACACACACACACACACACACACACACACACACACACAGGAATATTACTCAGCCATAAAAAAGATGATATATTTCCATTTGCAAAATTCCACTTTAGAGTCTCCTTCCTTGAACCACTTCTGCCACCAACTACCTTAGGTTGGGTTCTCCAGTAAATCTGAGATGAAGAATTTTGTGCAGGTGGTTTATTGAGGAGTGCTCTCAGGATCAGCACCTAAGAACTGGAGAAGGAGTGAACCACAATGCAGTCACAACAAAAACCAGAAGAATTCTTTGAAAAACTTGGAAGATTTATCCCACCTTGGGGCAAGGGGCTGGTCCTTCTCATTCCAGCACCGAACAAACACTGAATGCATGCTTTCCCCCAGGGAAGAGATGTGACCTTGGGTGATGTGGTTCTCTGCATGAGGGCAATCTCCACGGAGGAGCTCAGCTGAGAGCTGCCATCCTCCAACTTTCCCAGCATTTGGGGAAAGGAAAGTCTCAGTACAGGAGGGAGGGATCTGGGTGATATACCAGTATCCAGCACAGAGATTATAACTAAAATGACAAAAGAGGATTAGAGAAAAAAGGGAGTCAAGGACAGCTTACTGGAGAGACTTCTACATTTATGTGACAATAGGAAGAAGAATTGTCACAAAAGGTGTCACACTAGAGATACAGGAGAACATGGAGAGCAAAGAGCCATGGAAAACAAGGGAGCAGATGGGAGGAGTCCACAGGAAGCTTGGAGTTTATTAACCCAATCTTCTATCTTGAAAGATGAGGAACTGCAGAGCAGAAAGACTAAGTGATTTTAATTTCAATTTACTCAACAAGTTAGTGATAAAGCCAGGACCAGCATTCAGGTTTTCTGATTCTCTATCCATGTTCTTAACTCTATGTTTCCTCCTTGCATCATGTGTCTGTGACCTCTTTCTTAATCATCCTTGGTTGAGAACAGGGAAAATTTAAATTAGCAAAACTCTGGAGTATTCTGTTTGTAGGGCCTTGGTTCCTAACTTCATTACCTTTCACAAAAAAAGTTCCTTATTTTTTTAGTTGAGCCATCCTGCCACCTGTTGGCAGCTCAGCAGCAGCTCAGCTTGGGCCAGGAATCAAACTGGTGACCCTGTTGCTCAGAGCTCGCACTCTTGAGCGAGCTCTTAACCAACTGAGCCTCTTGGCGGGCCCCCAAAAATTTCTTAAGTTTTACATATGTAGTTGTTCTTGAATTATATATATATAATTCTTCCTTTGAGTAATGTCCATGAAGTGACATTATTCAACATGAAGTGTGTTACTAACAACTCTATAGATTATTTTTTGAAAAAAAAAACTATTGAAGAACTTCAGGAAAAATTCTTCTCCAGAGCAGATTGGCTGCCTACATTGTTGTAGGCTTGTGGCACAGGCAAGGGATGTTTCTTTTATTTCTCTGTTTTAAATATAAGTCAAACTTAGTAAACCTCTCTTTTTCTCTTTTTCATAAAACTTATCATGATGTGCCAAGAATGTTTAGTTGAAAAACACTCACCAGATGAGAGTTATCATTGAGATGTTATAAATTGGAACAGTTAATGTAGTCTTGTGCATCCAGACTTGTGGTTATTTTAGAACAAATGTCTCCTGAAAAACAAAAACAAAAACAAAATCAAAAAACAAAAAACTGAAGATTGATTCCTGAGACCTGGTACTGTAACACTTAGTTTTGTAACATATAGCTTTAGAGTTGGCCATTCAAAGACCCCCATGCCTATTATGGGTGATGTGGGCCCTAAATATGTACGTTAAGAAGACATTGAAAATTAAGGCTTAAAATTCCCAGATAGCTTTGTGGGAGAAAACCATTTTCACAAGGGCCTAATGGCTTAAGCACATCTTGTTGTCACTGTACCCTCTTTACCACATGCCATGTCCAGTCACAGATGGACAGAGGGCTTGGGACATACTACAGAGACTAAATATTGGTTGTGAGAAGAGCATAAGCATAAGAAGGATAGGGATTTTGTTCCTCTAGCTGCTCCCCTCTACTTTGTGGGGGGAGCAGAAGGTCACTCTTTTCATTTTTGTTCTATTTTGCTTTGCTCTTTGACACTTGCGACAACTTCTTTTAATAGGCCAATAATTTTATTCAGACATTGCAATTATGATCCCTAGTAACAGATTAAAAAATATCCTGAGTCAACAATGTATTTGCACACCACCTAATGGCTCTAAAAATATGTAACTTCAATATATTCATGAACAGAACTTTGGAGTTGATTCCAAGGATGCTTAAATTCTACACAAGTACTGGCCACTTCAACTGTTAAGTTCAGCGATATCATGCAACATGGACCACATTCCTTTTAAAATACATTTGTATATAAATACAGTAAATTAATACTTGAGTTAATTTTTAATTCTTAGATGAGAAACAAAGTAATCCCAGAAAGGATAATTTATTTAGAGACCTAAGATCTTCATTCATGTTCTAAAGCTAAAACAAATATATGAATACTAATGTATGGATACTTGAAAATACCTAGAAGACTGAAATGTTCAGTTTTCAATTAAAATCTTTGCCATTATGTGTACAGAACATTAAGTGGCAGCTTGTTCTCTCCAGAAGGAACTCACATTTGCTGAGCTCAAACGTATGTATAAAATCCAAACTCCAATATACTGATCTATGATAAAAAAAACAAATTATTGTCCAGACCTCACTCCTTGTATTAGCACAATAATGACTGCATTTTCTCCCAGTAGGTGAACCATATGTCTAACCATCTTCTGGGCCATACAACAAATCTCAATAAATTTAAAAGAAATCAAGTCATATAAAGTGTTTTCTTGGACCAAAATAGAATTAAATAAGACATAAATGATAGAAAGATCTCTGAAAAATCCCCAAATACTTAGAAACAAAATAACATACTGTGTATAACTTGTGAGTCAAAAAAGAAAGCTAAAGAGAAATTAGAAAGTATTTTGAACTGAATAAAAATGAAAACAACAACATATCAACATTTGTGGATACAACTAAGGCAGTATTTAAAGGGAAATTTATAGCACTAAAAACCTATATCAGAAAGAAGAATGGTCTCAAATCAATGACCTTAGCGTCCACCTTCAGAAACTAGAAACAGAAGAAAAATTAAAACTGAAGTACACAGAAGAAAGGAAATACTAAAGATAAAAGCAGAGATCAATGAAGTAGAAAACAGAAAATAATAGAGAAAATCATGAAACCAAAAGTTGGGTTCTTTGAAAGAATCATTGAAATTGACAAATCTCTAGCCAAATTCATCAGGGGGAAAAAATGTGTGAGAGAGAGCAAAGACACAAATTGCCAATATCGAGAATGAAAAAGAAAACATCATTATTGATCCTACAGACATTAAAAGGATCATATTATAAACAACTTTTTGCCAATAAATTTGACAACTTGGATGAAAGTTCACTCAAGAGAAAATATGTAACTTAAATAGCCTTATAGCTACTAAAAAAATTTTTTTAAAAAATGATTTGTTGTTAAAATCTTCCCACAAAGAAAATGTTAGGTCCAGATGACTTTATTGAGAAATCTATCAAGGATATAAAGAAGAAATAATACCAGTCCACATAAAATTTTCCAGAAAATGAAGAGAAATACTTTCCAACACATTCTATGAAGTCCGCATTACCCTGATACCAAACCATAAAGAATATTACAAGAAAAGAAAACTACAGACTAATAAGCCTCATGAACATAGATGTAAAATCATTAATGAAATACTAGCAAATTGAATCCAATAATATATAAAATGGATAATGCATTATGAATAAGTAGGGTTTATATCAGGAATGTAAGTTTTAATATTAAAAAATGAATTATGTAATTCACCACATTGATAGACTAAAGGAGAAAAACCATATGATCTTTCCAATAGATGAAAATAAAAGCATTTGACAAATTCAACATCCATTTGGCTAAATACGCTCAACAAACTAGGAATAGAAGGGAACTTCCTCAATCTAATAAAGGGTACCTATGATAAACCTACAGCTAACATCATGTTTAATGGTATAAGATTGAATGCTTTCCCCCTAAGATCAATAACGAGGCAAGAATGCCCATTCTAGCCCTGTCTATTGAACATTGTGCTGGAGGTCCTAGATGGTTCAATAAAGCAAAAAAAACAAACAATCAAAAAACGCAAGAAATTTAATTTCTTTTATTTTTCTCTTCCATAGAGTGAAAGAGAAGAGGTAAAGCTCTTTTTATTCACAGAAGACATCATTATGTACGTAACATCTTAAAGAATCTACAAAAAGCTATTAGAACTAGTAAGTGAGTTTAGCAAGTTCACAGGATAAAAGGTCAATAAACAAAAAGCTATTATTTTTCTATATACTAGCAATCAAAAACAATAAAAAATACAAATGAAAAAGTATCATTTACAATAGCATAAAAGCAAACTATTTGGTGGTAAATTTAATATAAAATGTGCAAGACTTGTACACTGAAAACTATAAAATATTGCCAAGAGAAATTAAAGAAGATATATATATATAAATAGAAAGACTAATTATGTTCATGGATAGGAAATATTAAGATGGCAATATTACCCAAAGAAATCTACTGATTCAACACAATCTCTATCAAAATCCCAATGGCCTTTTTCTATAGAACTGGAAGAGCTAATTCTAAAATTCATATATAATTGCAAGGAATCATGAATAGCCAAAACAATTTTAAAAAGAACAAAGTGGGAGGACTCATTTCCTAATTTCAAAGATTATTACAAAGCTACAGTAATCAAGACAGTGTGATACTAGCATAAGGGTAGACATATAGGTCAATGGAATAGAACTGAGAGTCCAGAAATAAACCCACACATTTATGGTCAATTAATTTTCAACAAGAGTGTTAATACCATTAAATGAGCAAAGAATAGTCTCTTCAACAACTGGATATTCAAATGCAAAAGAATGAATTTGGACCCTTATCACAAACCATAGATAAAAATTAACTCAAAACAGATTAAAGACCTAAATAGAGGAGCTAAACTATAAAACTCTTATAAGAAAACATAGGGCTAAATCTGCATGACCCTGGATTTGACAATGGTTTCTTAGATATGACACCAAAAGCACAAGTAACAAAAATAAAAATAGATAAACTGGGCTTCATCAAAATGAAAAGCTTTCATGTATTTAAGGGCACTATTAAGAGAGTGGGAAACGGCAACTCAAAGAAACTATTTGCAAATCATGTATCTGATAAAGGTCCAATAGCCAGAATATACAAAGAACTCTTATGACTCAACAACAAAAAGACAAACAACCCAATTAAAAAATGGGCAAAGGACTTCACTGGATATTTCTCCAAAAAAGATAATACAAATGTCTAAGAGGCATATGAAAAGATGTACAATATCATTATTCATTTGGCAAATGCAAATCAAAAACTCCAATGAGATACCACTTCATACCCACTGGATGACAACAATTTTTAAAAAATAAAAGTAAATTAACAAGAGTTGACAAGGATGTGGAGAAAATGGAATCTTTGTATACTGCTTGTGGGAATGTAAAATGGTGCTGCCACTGTGGAAAACAGTTTGGCAGTTCCTCAAAAAGTTGCACATAGAGTTGCCATATGATCCAGCAATTCTTCTCCTGGGTATATACCCAAAAGAACTGAAAACAAGTGTTCAAACAAAAACTTACTCGTATACATGTATGTTCATGGCAGCACTATTCACAATAGCCAAAAGGTGGAAAAACCCCAAATATCTATCATCTGATGAATGGATAAACAAAATGTGGTATATATAATGGAATATTATTCAGCCATAAAAGGAATGAAGTGCTGATACATGCTACTACATGGATGAACTTTAAAAACACTATAATAAGTGAAAGAGGCTAGACACAAAAGGCCACATATTATATATTTCCATTTATATAAAATATCCAGAAGAGGCAAATTCACAGAGAGAAAGCAGGTTACTGCTTGCCAGAGGCAGGAGGGCGGGAGGGGATGAGGAGTGGCTCGTTAATGGGTATAGCTTTGTGATAATGAAAATGTTATGGAATTAAGATTGTGGTGATAGTTGATAGTGATAAATTTAACATAAAATATGCATGGCATGTACACCAAAGTCTACAAAATATTGCTAAGAGAAATTAAAGACGTAAATAAGTGGAGAGAAATACTGAGTTTTTGGATCAAGATTCCATATCTTTAAGATGTCATTTCTGCTAAAAAAGATCTATATTTCAATGCAAGTTTTCTTAGCAGCAGAACTATTGACATTTTGGGCCAAATAATTCTTTTTTGTGACAGACTGTGTTATGCATTATAGGATGTGTAGCAGCCTTCCTGGCCTCTGCCTAGATGCCAGTAGCAACTCTCAGCTGAGACAATCAAAAATGTCTTTAGACATTGACTAATATTCCCTCAGACATAAAATTGCTTTCAGTTAAAAACCAGTTTTGTCAAAATAAATAATATAAAATAAAATAAATGGAACCACTTTAAAATGAAGCTGAAGCTGTGATGCCAGAGGAACTGCCTTGCATGTCTTATGCCTCAAATATTTGGAATGTTAAAACGGGGCAAAATAATCTTTGGAATGGGGCTAAAGCAACCTTGGTGT